TCTGGCTTATTGTTCTTATTTCTGGAAATAAATATTTCTGATGCAGCCAGGTCCCTGAAGATAGCAGCACAAAAAAATGGGAAGAAGAGTCAGATGTTTTGATAAACCTTCACTGGATTTCCTAATGCACTGCATGTGCTCTATATGTGGTGTTATCTGTGCTGAAGGGTTTCTGAATTTGCATATAAAAACGAATTCTGTATGTCACTGGATATACTTTCCTTGGCCAAACACATGCTCTCTCAGGCTTGTTTTCAAAACAGAACAGCTGTTTTGTGGGTGTAACTACTGGAAATCTGCCTGAAAAAAATTGCATTCTAGTAACTTAAGCACCCTCATACCTGGCATGGAGCTCTGAGGAGATTTTTTTTTTCATGCCTTCCTGTTGAACTTCAGTATAGGGTTTGCATTTCCTTTTTACACAAACTGACTTGACTTGTGGAAATAAATACCAAGCTTGGTAATCCCCTCCAGTGACTGCCAAGATGCCTCTGGCAGCCTGTGTGCTGGGGTAGCCCAGCCCTTCCAGGCAGCCTGTACCCTCTGTGGCATCCCAGTTCAGAGGAATGTGAGTGGGGAGGAATGTGACCACCTGCTGTGTTCTTGTTTTCATATGTGTTTGCACTTTGGGGATGCTGTTACTGTGGGAAGATATTACTGAGAGTGTATATTCATCCCCTTGTGTGTAGGGGATAGTCAGACTTAAACTGTAGAGCTCAAGCCTATATGTAAGACCACACAGCAGAGCTCCTTCAGGGTGAACACCTCAGTGGAGGGCAGGGGTTTGTGCAAAGTGGATGGTGAAGCAGGAACTTGCTGCAGCTAGAAATCCTTGTGGGTTTTTTGTGGCACTCTCACTGGGGAGTTCCGGGCCACAGTAGTAGCCTGGGGTCTGTGTAATTGCAGGCATCTTTCCACTGCTACACCTGGTCTTCATTGCACCCTGTTGGAGCCCTGGAGCTGGTACAGTGATGCTTCTGGGGACGCTGGGCTGGTCACTCAACCTCTATGTGGGAGGGCTCTGGTACAGGCCCTGAGCCTCTGCACTGACAGGGCTTGTCGTGGGGCCAGACCTGCTCTGCACAGCAGGGACACTGCGGGTGGCTGCAGCTGAAATAGATGTAGCTCAGCACATCCTGAAATGGAAACAGCACTTGGATAAACTTACTCCCTTGGGAGTGTTGTACTTGCACTTTGACGCTCCTGTGCCATCATGAAAGTCACTTTGGATTCATGTTGCTAAACACAAATGGGACAAGTGTTCTAAGAGATTGATGGACCTAAATGTAGTGAGCAAGGAATAGATTTTTCAAACTGAATGCAGTTAAAAGGTTAAAAAGAAATTACCAGAAGTATTCAGTGGTCAGAAGCATTCTCTTCACTCACTTCCACTGGAAGAAACAAATATTTCCAAGCTACATTTAGTAGAAGTCTGCCAGTGAAACTGTACAAGTTGTCACTTAAATCTAAATAAAATCACAGCAACCTACAGGAATTAGATTAATGATTTTTATTAGCTAGAGGAAAATAGTTCTGCTTTCCTCATTTGATAATAATACCCCCTATAATGTGCCAAGGTAACTCTCATTTAATGCACTTTGCATTGTCTCTCCATACATACTATATATAGAATAAAAACATGTTTCTCTGCACTTTGGTCAGACACAGCTTACTTCAAAAAACCCAAACAAACCACCACAAACTAAACAAATGCAAACAAACAAAAAAACCCCACAAAACAACAAAGCCTAAGTAATCTATAAAGAATCTCTAATTCTAAAGGGACTTTAAATCCTATAATTACACTTCTGCTGCACTTAAAAATTATTTAAGTACCACATGCATCTAAAAGTCAGTGGTACAACAAAGACATGAAAATAAAGTCTTTTAAACCTTTTAATCTGTAATTTAAAAAAATTGACCATAGACGAGTATGTTAAAAAGAAAAACATTTTCAACATGAATAATAACTTTAAAAATAGCTTTCTTTTGTACTGTGTCTGTTTGCAAACCTGACTCAGACAGCCTACTTAGATTTCTTCACTGGCTGCCAGTGCAATACAGGTTCTTTTCCTTTTTCATGTCAATATAAACTGCATTATTTGTCTGCTCAGCTTTCTTCTTTTTATATAGCTCAGGTTGAAATCCCTTATGCTTTGGCACATTGTTCTCTTTCCTCCTGTTCCACAAAAGTCAAGTAACATACCAGGCCCCATAGTGATTCTTGAAATACATGAATAATGTGTATTCCATTAAGAGAGAGTAACAATATCCCATAAAGGACAGTAGATTATTTTTTGCTTGCCAAACTGTACTTGTATGTTACTTTAATACTTTTTTTGACTTAGTGACTATGGAGGGAATCTGGTACAGCCCACATTTTGTAATTTACATGATGTTGTCAAGTACAGATCTTTGAAATCCTTGTTGCTAGCATTCCTCAGGAAGGTGTAGGTGTGAAATATGCCCACTCCAAACCAAATTCCATAGTTCTAGTCAGTGCTTGACTGGTCACCTAGGAAACTTTTAATAATGGATTCTCTTGGCTTGGTAATGCAGTCTGGTATGATCAGATTTTTCCAGTTCCCTGTAATTTGAAAATGTAGTGCTTGAACAACAAAAAAAAGTCATAATTTAATCTGTTCCATAGAGGAAAACCCTATCCTCTGTCTTCTGTTCTGTTTTAGTCATAATCTAAGATATCATGTTCTTTATTCTTTCTGTGGTGGCTTCTGTAGAATTACTTTAAATTGCATGACCTTTAGAATAAATGATTTTGAAGGTATTGAACCATAATTGCTGTGTTTGTGTCTCTCTGTGAGTCAGTATGTCTGTGAACGCCTTGCATTGGAATCCTCTGTGGATGTCCTCCTGTCCTTTTGAGATGTACTTGTGGGATTTTCTTCTGATTCTTGCCTACAAAAGGCTGCTAACACTTAAATGAGATAAAGATGGAGCAATTTATCTTCCAAATCTGTCTTACCCAAATTTTTGGATGTTCGAATTGATTGAAGCATTTAAAGTATTTATTTCTAGTTTCTTCTTTGCTATGCATTGTATCGCAAGAGTGTCAGTCTGGTTCAGTAGAACCAGCAGTTAAAATTGTCACTGGGACTGTTGAGGAAAAGGATTGTGTGTTGTCACCTGTTCCCCCACTCCCACTTGAAAAAGAAAAAGTGGTGTCAGGATGTGAGAGAAATCTATGAAACTGTGCGTGGTGGGGAGGGCAGGTAGAAATGTCTGCAGTTGATGAACTTGGGCAGTGTCAGATAAAACTGTAGGTACTGGGTACATGGTGTTGTCACTGCTTAAAGGTTGCATCAAGGAGTGACTAGGTAAGAGCAAGGTCTCAAAGCAGATTGAGTGTTTTGGAATGTACAGAAATACCATCTAAGTCAGGAAAACCCTTAGAGACAAGAAAAAAAAAAAGGCAGAGAAAGCATCATATGTGGTTATCTTATCCCTGCTCTTCCTCACATACACCATTACAGCTGCAGTTGAGGATGGACTAGCCAGGCCTGGTAGGAGTGTTCTTGGAAGAGATCTGTTGACCAGGACTGAATCTAAGCTTTATTTCAGTGGAAACAGTCCTGGTGGCTCCTGAGACTAATCTCCATAGTTTGACTGCTAGTTCAGACAGACTTGAATTTCATTACAAGGGGTTTTATGTTTCTCTACAGACTGTGTGCTCTGACAGGTATTTTTGCTTGACTGAGCAGAGGTACACTTGAAGTATCCTGGTAGGGGGTTGCAGAGCATCACATGAGTAATTTGCAAGGTGCATTTCTTCCACAAAGTGAGAAGTGGATTATCATCTCGTGTGTTAATTTTGCTGGTGTCACATAGAACAAAATGGCAAGTGGCAAATGATATTAATACACTTAGGATGATGTCTGGAGTGTCTGAAGGCTGCTAAGCCTGCAGTGGTGGGCAAGGCTGAAGGGTTATTAGGAATGTTTTCCATAGTAGCCACTTCTAGCACGTTACTGGGCTGGTGAAGATAAATCCAGAGGATGTTTTTTGAGAAAGTGAAGCAGCAACAAGCACTGTGTCTGGAATGCTATTTGTAGGCGATTGATTTTATTTTCTTGTGAGGATTGATCTTATGGGCTCTGCTTAGAGGGCAGCTGCTGCTTGCACTTGGACTGAATTGGGGAACTGCAGTGTTCTCTGGCATCCTGGCTGGTCTGATTAAATACTTGATTTTGGATAGGAGTCCTGTCCTCCTCGTAGCTTTGAATTGCATAGTTTGATTATTCAGCGTAATGCATAGGGTTCTAAATGTCATTTAGTAGTTTAATTGGGAAGCTGTTAGTGGGATTTTGTGACCCTATTCGAACTGTGTTAAAAGCTCTGGAATGTGAAGAGGAAATGGGTTGCATGGTCATTTGCCTGCATGCAGTAAGAGGGCAAAATTACCACTGCTATAACGTGCATAGGCTCTGAATAAAAAAACCAACCAAGCAAACCCCTGCCCTTTTGTCTCTGCCCAAGGACTTAAAAGCACTAAATGCTGTCCTTTGGGGGACTGATTTCCATGACTGGTTTTTTTGTCTTGTTTTCATGAAGAGTATGAACCACTGGCTTTCAGGGGAGTTACTGAGGATGGGTGAAGTTCTCTGGCACCATTCAGTCCTGTGATAAGAGGTCACAGAATTAGCTCAGACTGAAAACTAGTAAGTTATTTTTGCTTTGAAGATTCCTTCCTGTCCAGGAGTCATACTAGCTTTGTATTTGTCTTGATCTAGTTATTTACAGAGTAGATGAGTTTACTTGCTTCTTCTCCCTGAGGATAATTTTAGATACAGCACCCTTGTCCATAGCAGTTCTTGTTTGGTGATGTTTCAAGCCTATAATATGACAGTGTATTTGCCTCCTCTGTTTGAATGAGATACAGGCAGGTCATAAAGCCCCCTGATCCAGTTCTGTTCTGTGTATTTTTTCTTATAAACTGTGCCCTGAAAACGTATTAATACGTGTTCCTTATTTTTCTCCCTCAGATAAACTACTAGTCTTTACTGTAGCAACTAAAGAAACCGACGGCTTTCACCGTTTCATGCAAACTGCAAAGCACTTCAACTACACAGTGAAGGTATTGCATGTTTTGTACCAAATATTCGTACTGTACATGCTGTAAAACAGAACCAGTAAAGAGTAACTGACCTTGTCTGAGCTTTCTCGTGTGCTGGGACAAAGTAAAATAGTTGCAGAGCTTGGGGGCAGGAAGGGCACTTGCTGCTCTCCCTGTTGCTTATCTGCTGGTTCCCCTCTGAAGCATCATGGGAGGGAGCTGCTTTACAGATTTGTAGCCCTTGTGGTCAGCATCCTCAGTCACTCACCGGTTCTCTCATGATTTATCATATAACCTTGTTTTTCAGTGTGGCTGACTTTGTTTGCATGAATACTTCTGGAAGCTGTACTGTACTCATAGGGCTTGGATCTCCTTCCTCAAGAAAGGCTGGATCCCTGCTGCAAGGAAGGAGTGAGGGTCACAACTGAAAATTTCACTGTGTTTTCCAGGAACCTCTAATTCTGAGAGGACAGTGCATTTCTGTAATTCTTACCAGCCTTTTCTGCCTCGCTCCATGCCTCCGTATGTCCCGTTCTTAGGCTGGCCTCTGCGTGACCTTGGGAAAAGGGAGGGCACCAACCTTCTAAACTTTCCCCACAAATTGGTTCTGCCAAGAGAAAATCCAGGAATTCATATGGTGTTATGAAATTTTTCAGCTTACTTACCACAGTGCCTGCACTATAAATAGGAAATTATTTGGGTCTCTGAAATTTGACTTCTACCCGGGAAGCCTGGGCTCTGGATATGTCTCTTAGCTTTGCAGATTTGTGTGAAACACCATGCAATGTAGTTCTTCCACCCTTTATACGTTCCAAAAACATTATGTTCAAAACCCAGTAAGAGTTTATTTTTTTCTTTTTTTTTTGACAGGTAATCTGCTATAGCGCTTGGCTTGGGAGGAATTTTTTGTTTATCTGATTTTTAGCAGTGAGCTGTATAATGGGGAACCTGTCCTTCCCTTTTTGTGCAAAAAGACTGGAGTTTGCAATTTGAATTAGTTATGCCCTGATCCACCAAAGTCTCTTGAGCCTCCTGTTCCTAAAGTGATTCTATTGATTTTTAAAGGTCTCATTCAGAATGTTTGTCTAATAGAAATTTTGGTACAATTCTTGCCTTTTTTCTTTCTGAAGGAGGCACACTGAAATAAATGGCAGTAACAGGCAATTGCTTGATTCTTATTTGGTTAAAAAATGTCTCTCTCATGTTTTTGCAGTGATGTCATTGTGCTGAATGCTGCTTCAGACATGGAAAACTTACCATGCTGGAAATGATGGCTTGCTATGCCTTAGTGTGTTGCTTCTGCTTTAGCATCTGTTTTTAATAAGGGCCTGCTTTAAAAAAGCCTCATGGTTTTGGGTACTAGCAAAAAGTGCTTTTCTTTTTTCTTGTTCCAGGTTCTTGGAAAAGGTGAAGAGTGGAAAGGTGGTGAGCTGCCTAACTCTATTGGTGGAGGGCAGAAAGTTCGATTGCTGAAAGAAGGCATAGAAAGCTATGCCGATCAAGAGGACTTGGTTGTATTGTTTGTTGAATGGTGAGCAAACCTGTCTTCTTGTCTTTATATTTTAGTCTGGGCAGGCATGCAAAAGTAGCTGCTGTGACATGCTGAAAGTTGCACACTGCTTTTCCTCCTCGCTGTTTTATTCGAGAGAGTTTGCTTCTATTTTTCTTCATTCATAAAAATAGTAGATTGCTTTTGGAGCAATCATTACTTTTTTAACAGATTTACAGATGTAAGATTTGTTCATAGTTCTACTGCCTCAAGGGGGTAAAAAAATGTTATTGAGAGCTGACAGGCTTTTAGGGAAGCATTTGTCCTCTCCTTGTTCAGCTGTGGTGAGAGCAGGATGTGGCTGCAGGCTGGGAGTGTGAATGGGAGGGGGAGCAAAAGCAGCTCCAGAAATAAAGTGGCCAGTAGGGACTAGAGGCATAACCTTGTTCCATGAAGTTATAGTGATATGGAGGAAGCTGGAAAATGGGTCCCTGAGGAAATCATTTAACAGGAGAACTGCTTTTACATGTTAGAGTACCAAGACAAGAGACTTGGTGCCAGTTGTATCTGTCCTGTCTGTGTGATAGAAGGATGCAGAGACAGTACTGCTGTGAGCAGGTGCCAGATTATAGCTCATAGCACAGCTATGCTTGAACATCCTCCCTGGAGGCCAGATAGGTTTCTCCTTGTCACAGAAAACATGGAGCTCAAACATGTTCGAATCACACTTTTTCCATTGCTTCCCTCTGCTTTTTCCTTCTCCTCCTCCTCTTATTTTACTTCTGTGACAACAGCATGATCACAGTAGCTAAGAATACAACTTAGAGCAGCTACCAAGCTCTTCCACACTAAAGTTAACCAGAGCAGGGTCACAACTTTAATCTCTGCAAGGAAGGCATGGAACCAAGCCTTGAATCAGGGACAAAGAAGCTCTGATTGCAGACAGGCAGCCTTGGAGAGGCTCAGCTTGAGAGTGCAAGCTTGGAGAGGTGCATGCATGAGTTCACACTGCTGGTACCAAGTCATATTGGAATGTCTGCTCCGGAATTGTCTGTCAGCTTTTAACTTGTTCTATTTATTTATTTATTCAAATTTGACAGCAGAAGAATTTTAGGGACACTTTTTTGAGGTAGAGTTTTGATAGTATTTGTACAGCAGACATCATCACAAGACAGGAAGTGGTTGGACAGTAGCATTTTATGGATAGTTAATTTGTTGTTTTGCTGAAGTTATCACTTCAGGAAAGTTGGAGTAGCCTATGAAACTGTTTTTGTTATAATTCTACCCTTTGTGATGAGTTGAAGATAGACCTAGAAAGCCAAAAATCTAAATCATCTTCAGCAATTTATAAATAAGCATTATAAGGGACACTTTTGATGAAGATCTTCTTTGTATGCCTAGTTGACTGTAAAGGTAACATAGTTTGAAGGTAGACATTCGGGTTGTGAATGTTTTTTGTTATTGACTTGATCAATTTTGCATTTGCTAAGTGGAAAAAGGATCTTTCTAAAAGTAAATATATTACATGTTTGTTCATGATGTTATCCTACTAACCATACAATAGCTGAAACTTTAAGAGATTAATTTGGGAGATTTTATTTTTTACTAAAACTCAGATGAATCAAACGTTTCCCAAATGTTTTCAACTTATATTGAATTTCTTTGTTTTCAAATTTATTATCCTGATTCTTCACTATTTTCTTCCTATATAGTAAAATATGCAAATTTGTTATCAGATTGCTATCAGGGTATAGCTCAAATTCCTCTCCACCATAGTTTATTCTCTTGAGGGGCAGGCTGTCTGCTGGCGTGGAGGAGAGAGTACAGAGGACCATGTGTATCAAAGTGCAGAGGCAATAATCTTTCTTGCCATGAAAAATCACAGGATTTAAGACCTCCCAAGTTCTCGAGATCCGTAATCCCAAGTACATATATATTTAAAACTGGTGGAACTGTTTCCAGATAGAAGAAAAAAATAGTTTGCTGATTCTAGCATTATATTTTAATTCTAATGAGCTTTTTCATTTCCAAAAATACCGGTTTGCAATTTAAGTGTTGATCAATATAGCAGAAAGTTTGGAAAAGACAAGTGTCATGAACTTCCTTTCTTCTTCAAGTGTTTCTTATTATATTCATTGTGAAGCATTTGAAATATTAATCTTGGGGGTGGGGAAAGGAAATGTCTGGTTTGCTTACTGTAACTAGGCAAAAAATTTCTAGAGAACTGTTTACTTAAACTTAGTTTCTTGGGTTTTTTATTTTTGATCAGTTTTTTTAATAGCTCAGAATGCTGGAAATAATTTGAACTTCTTTTGTTGACAATTCATGTCTAGGTGTACATAGAAAAATGTCTGCAGAGGGAACCTCATTTAAATGAGGCTTTTTTTTCGCTTGAGCTAACTACTGGTTTATTTTGGACCATTTCAGATTGAACTGGCTAATGGCCAGTATAGACTGGATAAATTGGTTGATGCTGTGACTGTTCATCCAGAATTCCCACAGCCATCTCTTTGTATCATGAAAGAGTTTTGAAGCCTCTCAGTTTGTTGTTTGTTTTGTTGTTTTGTTTTGTGGGGTTTTTTTTCCTAACATTTGTTAAAATGTTAAATTTTAACAGTTTAAGGGATAAACATATCTCAAAATGTTTAAGGTGTGATCCTGGTGGGGATACAGTGTAAATGACAAAATAGCTGTGTGGCTGCACAATGCAGCTAAGATAGATGAGATAGGGGACCTGAACTGCTAGTCACTAGTGGGCCCTCTCTCATTTGTATTTTGAGCTCTTAACCTGCAGCTCCAATAGTAACAAGTTCTCATTGTTACAAAAGTTGTGGATGCAAAAATTGCGTGGTCAGTTTTAGAGGACCCAAGTCAGCGTTGCTGTTTCCCGTGTTGCCGGGTGCACAGCCAGGATGCTTTGCTACTCCAAAGGAGGAGGAGACATGGTTAGATTCCAGTCCCAAGCAACTGCCATCTGGGAGCTTCAGGAAATAGGATTGGGTTGTGGAAACTTTTTGGGTTCTTTTTTTCCCCTTGCTTTCAGAAGGAATCAGAAGGAATTATGAAGAATAAATAAGAGTATCTGAGCTTTTTCCTGCTTGCCAAGGAAGCCTGCTTTTTCCTGGATATATCCACACTCTTCCCTGTCAAATTTTGAAATCCTGTTTAAAGCAAGCCATGTGCATCACCCTTAATAACAGCATAAACTGTAAAGGATAGTCCTGGGACCTGTTTTATGGTGGTCTTAGTGGTGTAGACCTGAGGTGAATCTTCCCTTACAGTAGAAGTTGAGTGCTGGATAGGCCAAATGTAATCTGACATAGCAGGTAAACAAGAAAAATGATGCATTTATAGGTTTTCATTTGACTCCAGGAGTTTCCCTGTTGCCTGGAGAGAAAAGTGGGAGCCTCATAAAGCATCTGATGAGGACACTGGCAGCAAGGGGCAGAAGGCTGGCGGAGGTCCTGCCCAGGAAGAGATGTGGTGGCAGTAAATCACCTCTTGATAAAACAGAGTGCCTTGGACATTAATGGAAAATGTAGGTTCATGCTGGATTAATACTCCTGCATAATATCCATTGCAGTTCAGCAGCTCAGTACTGTGCTTTGGATTATAAACTGTACTGTATTAAGTAGCATATCCCTTTCACAAACAGAGCCTGTGGCTGGCCCAGCACAAAGTTGCTCAACTTTGGCTTTCTTTTACAGAATGACAGTGCTAGGAAGCAATGTTCCAGGGCTATTTGGTTCCTTCCTGCAGCTGTAAGTCATAGCAGCAGCAGCACTAACCTGATCAAAGAGGAGAAGCACAGCCTGCCATAAGCTATTAAGTTGAAGCCTCAGACAAATCTCTTTTTGTCTGCCTTCAACTTGTCTCCTGTTTCTTGCATGTTCTACAGGCTCATTCTGGCATTCAATCGGGCTACAGAAATCAAATGGAAAAGAGAGTGAAGTGTATTCCTGTATATTTGGGCAGAAACAGGCATTTTTTGCAAAACTGGGGAAGCTCCAAAATGTACACTATTTCTTTCCAGCATTCTTCTGCCAAAGTTACAGACAAACATAACAGTGAGAGGTTTCAGAAACCCACTTACTTATATAGACTACATAACACACTTCCTCTCCAGGGTTCATACTTTGCTTTGCGGTGAAAATCTTTTGCATTTGTAAGCCAGCTGTTGTTACTTCTCTTAGGCCAATTTCATGAAATCCTCTTTGAATTAAAGACATCTTTAATAATTTCAGAACTATAATAAAGGAGTATCATAAGTCAGTAATGGTTGATCTGTTGGCACTATTACTGTGTAATAATACATTGCAATGCAGAAAGTTCTGTGCCCTGCAAGCTGAAAGCTGCTGAAGCTAAAAGACTTTGCAAGAAAAACATCTTGGTCAAGGTTAGACCTTGATTTTTGGCAGCTGTACCATTCCTTTGCCCATTATCAGGGCTGATGACTTTCAGTTACTAAGTTATATGTGTGGAATAAGAATATACCTGTATTCAGATGAGGAAACTTTGAGGCTGAGATGCTGCCATTAAATTAAACTATTGTGCTTCTTCAGTCAGAGACTAATCTGTGACGTGATTCCAATTTTACTGTGTCATTCTTCATGCTGTGTAAAGTGAACCTTGAACTGGGAGGCACTGGCACAGGTTACCCAGGGAAAGTGTGGATGCTCCATCCCTGGCAGTGTTCTAGGCCAGGTTGGATGGGCCTTTGAGCAAAGTGGGCTAGTGTGTGGCATCCCTGCCTGTGGGGGGGGAATTGGAAATAAATGGTCTTTAAAGTCCCTTCTGACCCAAACCATTCTATGAATAATGCTTTTATATGTGTATCTCAAGTACAAAAAAGAAACCATATACTGTGAATATTTTAATACTTTATATGTATTTTGAGGTTTTGGTTTGGTTTCTGTGTGTGGTTTTGTTTGTTTGGTTTGGTTGGCTGTGCTCCACGCCTCCCCTCCGAGGCATTGGTTTAGATATGGTTCAACAACAAGAAACCACTAAGCTCGTGATACCACATTCTTACATGACCTTTGCCAACCCCATCCAGATTTCTTTCTGTTTTGGGGTAGTGTTGATCTTTGGCTGTGGGTAACTGCCAGAGATGAGCCCTCCACTTTTAGGTCTTTGTCCTCAATAGGAATTGAGACTCAAATCTGATCAACACGTAAAGGCAGGTGAAGTTTTTCATAAATACATGTTGTGACATTTAGAGCCTTTTAAGGTCTTCAGCACATTAAAGAGGCTTAGGGAGAAATCTGTGTATTGTCAGGATGCAACACAGTTTATGTGCAACTTGACTTTATTGAGATCTAAATACATTCTTAATAATACTTTTCTGAAGAGTCAGTGCTATTGTGTTTTGGAACAAGATCATCTAGAGTTTCCCAGTGAAAGTCACCTAGATCATCTTTCAGTCCTACTTTCATCTGTTTTGATTTTTTTTTAGTTGCTGTTCTTAAAAAGCAAACAGTGTTCTAAAGGGAATTTTTTTTTTCTCAAAATATCTGAAATAGGCAAATTGATTTCAGGCAGACAAAACCTGAAGGAAAAAGAATGTCCAAAATGTGGGTGGTTAAAAAGCAGAAGGGGAAATTGTATTGGATAAATAGTGTTGATTGAAATTTTTCTCCTAGAAGGGTATAAAATTTTTTACATGGTGATAAAACATGATTTCACTGAGTCATTTTTCAGAATAAAAAGGCTGTTTGATTTTTAAAATTCGAATAGTCCAATGATTTTTTGTTTTCAACATAGAAGCATTAAAATTAAACTCATCTAAGGGATGTATTTCTTTACTTTTCAGCTATGATGTTATCTTTGCTGGGGGCCCTGAAGAGCTCCTAAAGAAATTTCAGGAAACTAATCATAAAGTGGTGTTTGCAGCAGATGGACTAATTTGGCCGGATAAAAGGCTAGCTGACAAGTATCCTGTTGTCCGGAGTGGAAAACGATTCCTGAACTCAGGAGGCAAGTGTGATCCTCTTGTGAACCCATTAAACCCTTGGACTTGAACATGACTTATCTCTGTTATCTGTTTTATGTGTTTGTATGTGGAACTGTTCCTGAATTCCCCAAGTATAATATTGAGGACTGAGTTTGCTGTCCTCTTCTTCCCCTCTCCTTCCCACTTCAATAGCTGCTCTTCTGTGCTTAAGCATAGTTTTCATTTGAATTTGCATAGTTTGCTTGGCAATAACTTCTAAAAAGCAGGTAAATAAAGTGACAGCTTAGCAAGCAACTGTGCATTGCAAGGAAAGGCTGTGCAGAGATGACCCAATTGCTTCAGAAACAATGTAGTGTTCAAGCCCAGTCAAAGCATCAGATGTTATTATTTATAGGTACAGTTTAGCTGGGTCAGAATTTCCTGACTTGGCTGCCTTGTTCTTGTGGATCTCAGCATCCGGGAGGGATGAACTGGTAGCTCTGCCCAGTCTGTCAGCATGGCTGACATGGCTCATTCCAAAAGGAGTGGGAGTTACTCCTGTTAATCTCAATGATGGGTTAATTCTGGAATCCTCATTTAAATGCCAGTTTTGGTAATAATTTTGGAGTTGATTAATACATACACTGACACTGATACTCTATAACTGCTGCAGAGCACAGAACGTCACTTCTAAGTACATGGAGTTGGGCAGTGTGCAAGCCTGGGAGTGTCCCTGTTTCTTTACCTCCTCCTTTACCTCACCTATCTGCACTATCTTTTTTTTTATTTTGGCTTAAAAATAATGTATATTGGTTTTGAGTTGAATTCTTTTTATATTTCCGGCAGTATGACATTCAGGCATCTCTGCCAATAAGAAGTGATTGATGAATATCGAACTTTTTCCACAGATGAGCTTCTTGGGAAAAGTGGTAGTCTCATCTCTTTGGTGTTCTCAGGACCATCCTAAACAGATCTGTTTTAATTTTTCCTTAAAATACCATTAGTATAAAAGTAACCATTAATTATGAAATTTTTGAAACAGAACTGTTATGTATCACAGGAAGAAAACTGGATTCTGAGCCAAGTTGTATGAATTTCATACTTTTCCTTTGCTGGCACCAGTCAGAATGAAGTCCCTGACTGGTAGACAGCATTGGCAGGGTAGTGCTTTTTATGGAAATAACTTCTGTGTGTGTGATTTTGCAGGATTTATTGGTTATGCTCCATATATAAATCGTATTGTGCAGCAATGGAATCTGCAGGATAATGATGATGACCAGCTGTTTTACACCAAAATCTATGTTGACCCATTGGCAAGGGTAGGTAGTGAATGGCTTTCTCATTTCTTTCTGCTTGAAATAACATGCTACTCCTCCTAAAACACCAAGAGATAAAAAGAAAAGGAATGCTGTCTCTTTGTTCTGGAGTGCCATATTGACAGTTGTGTTTGCTCTCCTGAGGTTCTTACTGCAGGAATGATGAACAGGCTTCCAAAGGGTCATGACTTGATATATTATTTCAGGCTGTCTTCAGATCCAGTCAGGTTGAGCTTCACTGTTAGAAATAATAGCTCTGAGGTATATGATCAGACACATTCATCTCAATGAGGGTCCCATGTACTTGGCAGTTTGACGGCCAGAGAATGTGGCATTTTTCCAGGGTGTCACTGAACTACTTGCTGATCCAGTGTTTTATACTTTGGCTTGCTGCCATTTCAGATCCTGCCTTCAGCTTTTTGTGCAAATATGTTCAATAAAGCTGCATCGTAAATTTTTGGTGAAGACCTCTTTGTGCCCTAGCTTAACAAAGTTCTCTGCTGAGTAGCAGCATTAAAGCATGATAGATGTCAGAGGCATGTCCCTGGTGCTGGAAAAAGAGAGCTAAGGAAAGTTAGCAGTGTATTGATGCAAAAAGACTTTTAGAAGCTGATAAAACAGAATTTTGAAAATGATTTTGATAATTTGTATGCTTAAGGCAGATGCAAAGTTTTTGAAATATATACATGTTTTTCCTGGCATAACTTAATGGAAAATCATGTCTATTTGGATGCAGGTTCAGAAATAGAATAGAATATTTCTGTTAGAAGGGACATACAGTGACCATCTAGTCCAACTGGCTCACTAGTACAGGACTGACCAAAAGCTAAAGCATGTTGTTAAGGTCATTGTCCAACTGCCTCTTAAACACTTGACAGGCTGGGGGCATTGACAACCTCTCTAGAGAGCCTGATCCAGGGTTTTACCACCCTCTTCATAAAGAAATGCTTCCTGATGTCCAGTCTGAAGCTCCTCTGGTGCAGCTTTGAACCACTCCCAGCAGCTCAGCACCTCCCTCTCCCCTTCCCCTCCTCAGGAAGCTGTAGAGAGCAAGGAGGTGGCCCCTCAGCCACCTCCTCCGAACTAGACAAACCTGGAGTCCTCAGCAGCTCCTCATAGGATGTTCCTTCCAACCTTTAATGTTTGAATTGATTTCATGGAAGTGAAGTCAGATGCCAGGTATGCAATTGAAAAGACAGGGTGTAGAGACATTAAAGCTGACTCTGCACCAAAGTCAGAAGTAATATAATTAGTTGTCTAAACAGATTGTCTTCCAGACAAGAAATGTGTATCTCTGTGCAAGGCACTACTGCACCATGATTCAAAACACCTCCATGGTGCTTACTGTGCGTTGCTACTGCTGTTTTATATGACAGTGCCCAACGCTGTAGAATACGTGAGAAAATTTTGGAAGACCAAAGCAAAGTGTGCTGTCTGTATAAGGGTTTTTAACTGTGTTTTAAAGGTTATCCACTTTGATTAACTTTTTAAAAATGGTAAAACATGGTACTCAAAGTAAGAATTGAGGTACGATTAATAATACATTAGAAAAATGTTTTAAAACCGCTAGTGTTTTCTATTCTGACATGATACTTAAAGTTGACTTTTGTATTTTTGAAACTGTGAAACACAGTATGTTTTGTTGCTTGGCCAACACTTGCTAATTTTCTTGAGACACAGATTTGCTTTGGCTTATACTGCTAAATTGCTCTTTGTTTGGAGAGTTATGACCTTTATCCTTCGGCTTTAAAATTTTTGCATATACAAAACTGATTGTTCTATAGCTGCACAACTCTGGAATTCAAAAAAAGTAACAATATAAAATAAAGAATTGTATTTAAGAGCTGAACATGTAGTTTAGTTTTTCCTGATTACTTGCTGCCACTGTGGTATAATTGCAACATTACTGTAAAAATATTGGCTTTTAGAATGCCTCAACATCTTTGGTACTTTTATTTCAGGAACGCATTAACATTACTTTGGACCACAAATGTACAATTTTCCAGACCCTAAATGGAGCTGTTGGTAAGTGTATGATTTGCACATTGTGTGTTTTATTAACTGTTATTAACACTTTCTTTGCTTAACAATGAATGTAGTTCCCTAAACATATGCTTCTTTTAAAGAAATATTTGGATGGATAGGCCTGATTAATAGATTAGTTACAGGTCTTTTCAGTTGAATATTAATTAATTAATTGATTTCTCATGTTGATAAAATATTTGATTTAAAATAGAGAAATAGTTTTTTAATAAATTAAGTTAGCAGTAAATATGGAGTTAAGAAAAATTTTCATAAACTTTCACAAACTTAATTACAGGAGTAAGATAGGTAATTAAAATTGTATTTTAGATGTTCTCAAGCAAATGGCTATACATAATGAAATGCAATGTGGAATAATGTAGAATTTCCTTTACTCAAATGTCATGAATTTAAATAGAAAAATGCATCTGTGCAACCTTCTTTTCTTACATTTAACCTCCAATTATGGAACAACTTTCTGTAGTCAGATCACATCTGAAACAACTATGATTTCTCTATAAATAGCATTTGCACTAAATTAGAATTATTTTTTAAGCAGATTTTATTCCAATACTGAAGGCTGCTGATGACAAACTCTGAGGTTTTGTCACCTTATTTAGCATAAAGAGCTTAGAATTCAAGATCTAATTAAAAAAAAAAAATGAACAAAAGCTTCCAAATAAGTAACTCTGATAATGATAGCAACAGCAAGGTATATTGTATCAGCAACGACTTAAAAACTCTGAAATTTTAGCTTTTATTTATGAATTTATTACTGTATGGCTTTGATTTGCAGATGAAGTCCTTTTGAAATTTGAAGAAGGAAAAGTAAGAGCAAGGAATTCAGTGTATGACACACTACCAGTCACCATTCATGGAAATGGTCCAACTAAAGTGAGTGGTAGTTTGTTTTTATTTTCTTGCAAAACCACAATTCTAACATAAGTAAAAAAAAAAAAACAAACAGTGGTAGAAGTGTCTGAAGTTGTCATAGCAACCACCACTACACATTTCCATTTAATATTAGGAATTGCAAGGATAAAACCCCTATTCTAATAGCTCTCTCAATCATGTTATTCTGCTGTCACTGTAACTTGATATCACTGCTGAAACAACTTGTTCTGCTCCCAAATTCATTGTAGCATGGGATATTAGGAGAGAGTAAGCTTATGTTAATTTGGTCACTAACACAAAACAGTTCTTGAAGCTAGAGATGAATGTCTATATGGTTATTAAACTGTGATCAGAAGAAGAGATTTTCAGGGGGAAGATAAACTAACCAAGAGTGACAGTCTGGGATACAAAACAGTAACACATCCATTCCTACCAGAGACCTAGGTGTGTATATACAAATATAAAAACATATATCGAATACAGGCAGAAAAAAAAAAATTCTCTATGTGTGTGGGTGGCCTTTGTTGTCTTCAGTGTCATTGATCACTGCCTGCAGTGTGCCCACGGCTCAAGAGCTTTGGGTTCACGGTAGAGCACTCTCTGCCCTGTGAAAGAGCTGTTGTGACAGATTCTGTTCATGTGTAAGGATTCATTGGTCCAGAGAACCTTGCACAGTTTCTCTGAGAAAAATGACTATGTTTTGGTAATATGGCAGTTGCATTTTTTTGCTCTGTGTCAAAGTGTAAGGGTGTATCATTTATAGGAGCATCTGGTGGCTGAAGGATTGGGCATGGCTACTTTCTAAGTTCTTTTGAATAAGTGTTCCTTACTATAGCTAGCTCCTTGTTTTCAGAAAAACGGCTTTCAGGAGAATTAGGTTTGAAACTCATTAATATCCCAGAGATGGCTGCTGCTTAGTTTTTGCACTGTTTTTCATTTTTGGAATTAGTGAATATAATGATGTTGTTATCTGTTCGGCTTATAATTACTCACTAGTAGTGAAATATTTGACCAATTTCTTCCATATTGCTACAGTTATTTTTGCCTCAATTAAATCCTGAAGTTATCTGTCATCACTGGCTTTGCTGACACATTGCCAAAGAAAAGTTCTGTGTTTTACAGTAGGGCACACAGTTTAGGATGGAACTTCTTATACCAATCCATGAGTTATGTTACATTCAACAAAACTCAATCTTGGCATGTAGTGATGTGGTTTTAAAAACAAAGAGGAAACTCTTACTATGCATCACTTTGTCAGTGTGGTTAGATTCTTCTCTTTTAAACTTAGAATTGAATTAAGAGGACAATAGTATACTAGGATTGGAAAAATTTTTAATTAGTTAGTAAAGAAACTAGAATGAAAGTAATTCCCAGAATTTATTCCAAACATTCTTTTTATTTAGAAGATACTTCTGTTTCATATTTAATCTCTCCAATTGGCAGGTTAGTAAATAACATTGGTTAGAGAAACTTTTTGAAATGGATACCAAATTATCCTCACCTTCTGACATGAAATATTTTTTTTACCTCAAGTGCAATGTCATTTTTATGAAATACTCATTTTCATAGACTTTATAGTACATTTGTAATCTGTTTTGTAAATAAAAAGGATAAGAAGTTTTTACCATCTGTTTTTGCTTGTTTCTTGTCAGTTGCCTTTAGTTACAAGAGATTAAAGAATAAGCCTGAATTGTTTAAAGGTACAGATCACCATTTGCATACATGTTTCATTAATCTGAATTGTTCATTTATTTACCAGATTCACTTGAATTATTTGGGAAACTATATTCCTAATGCTTGGACACGGGAAACTGGTTGCAGTGTTTGTGATTTAGACTTGTTAGACCTGTCAACATTAACGGTAAGAATACTCCTATCTGGAACAAACCCCTTTTGAATACAGTTGAGAGGTGTATAGTGATTTCGGAGGCAAAGTGGCTTTGTTATGCAATATCATGTTTCTTAGACACATCAGGACTTTTTTTCTGGTACGTGAAACTGTAAAGATGAAATTGTAATTCACTGGAATAATCAGTGGCTTTAATATAGGCTTCCTCAGTATTACTGAAAATGATCCCATCCCCAAAAGCCTTCCAGATCTTTACCTCTGTTACTGAGGGTGAATGAATAATTTTTGAATCATGCAACGTATAAGTGAATAATTAGAATTTTGGGGGAAGTAGAAAAACTCTTTAGATATTTCAGATTTTTAGCAGCAGACCTACAAAATACTAAGTATGCATCAGTTCAACAATTTCTATTACAAAGAGTTTAATAGTTAACTAATATGGTTACAATTCCTATTTTCTGAGATAAACAGTCAAAACTGCTTTACCTTGTAAAGGACAATACAGATATCTGTATTGTATATGCAAATGTGTCTCTGTAGAAAAAGTATAATGTGATTGAGACTGGATTTCAGTACAGAATTCTTGTAGAAAAAACATACACATGACATGTGTGTATATCCAGTATTTGGCAATTTTGGCTCTTTGGCTCCAAGCATGATGTCTTTAGTGTCTTTATGAATATTTCAGCTTGTACTCAGTAAATTTTAGGCAGAGTAAAGACTAAGCTCTACCATGTGGAATTGTGAGGCTTGTACTTAAAAAGAAATTCTGATTTTTCTTAACAGGCTGTTTTCAGCAGCTGTTTTGTTTCTGTTCAGTACTGAAGTTTTGAATGGGAACAGGTCTTAGAAGGTGGCATTGAGGATAGCATGAAAGAAGTAGTGGCTTGTTATCTTTGTAGTGAAGGGAAAAAGTGAAAGAATTTCTGGGCAATAAGTAGCTAATGGACTGGGATATAAATTTAGAAAGTCATTACTGGGATTGTAATAACTTTCAGATTTTTTTAATATTTTTTAATTTTATTTTTAAGAGACAACATTTGAATGGTGATTTAATGAAATAGTGTTGGCACTCGCATCATAAAGTTTACCTGCAGAAAACAAATTGTCTAAGTTTTTTCTAATGGTATTGGTAATTAAAACATGGTTGAGGGAGCAGTTAAATCTTAAAGCCAGTAACGGGGAGTAGCTTGCAATGATTTACTGGACAGTTTCCTATGGTTTATGTACATCTACTTGGAATGTGTATTCCTTACTGTAATGCATTCTTTGGACTTCATACCTCGCTTACTCTGCCAGTAAAAATAACAAGGCTTTTCTTGGCCTCAGTGGAAGTGTTTACTTCAGGCATTTCGAAGTACAAGCAGTATTTCATTTTCTGAACGTGCTTTCTGTTCAGGCCTGTCTGGTTGCTACTTGACAAGAAATCCTCAGTGAAAAGAGCAGTACTACTCTGATAATTTTTCCCATATTGTTTTATTTAACTTTCTGCATTTGTACACTCATATCTTCTGAGGATTTTGCTCGTTTTTTGGAGTTTTGTTCAAAGGAGCTGAGAGCTTCATGTGCAGAGTCTTCTGCTCAATCCTTGTGCCCTTCACAGAAACAGGATCTCCTGGGCAGTGATCATGGCTGAGGTGTGGAAACACTCAGTAGCTACTTTCATCTGGTAATGTCAGCAGCCTCTGCCACCCTCAAATTAGTTATCTCTTCAGGTAAAAACAAGGTAATGGAAAATAAGTTGAAGAATGCACCTGGACAAAAATGTAAATTTTTACCACTTTTCTTAAGTTGTTGGGTTTTTTAATTTTTTTTTTTCTAAAACCTAAACTAAACTGGACAACAAACTTAATCCCCCTAGAACTGCTTCTTAAGTCCTAAAGCTTGCTACTGCTATGAAGACTTCTCAGTGCATCTGGAAAGGATGACCTCACTCATCCTCTCACTTCACTGGTAACTCCTGTGTCAGGTGATCTGGGACTTTGCTCTGTGTAGTTGTACTGAGACACTGTTCTGTATTTCTTCCAGAAATTGTCACATACTCAACTACTGCTTGTGAAAAAGTAAAAATATGTGACCTCAGAGAAAACGTAACATCCTGGTGCAGACTGTGTGTTTCCAATGTGTTTTTGCTCAGGCACAACTGGGAAGAACCAAAACCTCTGACTTAATATACTCAAAATACTTGTTGTAATGTAGATTCAGATTATGCAGTGACAACTCTGTGGTAAACCAAGGTCTACATTGATGAACTCTACTTTGAGAAGATGCAGTTTACAGGAATTTTTACTCAATTTTTTAAACACTATTTTGCTTTAGTCACAGATTTTAGTGCAGAGCCAAGTGGTTCACACTTCAGTGTACTGAAGCAGTGTCAGTAATTCCTCACTCTCTGTATAAACTTTGCAGGTCCAACCTGAACCTATTTCCCTTTGTCCTAGAGAATAAGGGGAGAATGACAAAATACAGTTATTGCAGCAGTTCTACCACTGGCAGCACATGTGTGTACTCAGCTTGGTCCAATGGCTTTCCTGGCCATCAGTGGTACCAGTTCCTGTGACACCACTCTCAGGTGCTGTTTTGGAGACACATATGTCTTCATCAGTTATTTTGAAGATATTAGGATCTCCCTGTGAGTGCTTATTAGGTTTGCAGATGAAGCTGTGAATAGGAGGTAGTCAGGGTAAACACTGGTGCCTGATGTTTCCGATCTGGTGCCTTTGCCAGGGTGTTTCTGGATTTCCGATGTAGACAGTGACACTAAAATCTCAGCATGTGTTGATGGTTTATCCAGACACTCTTCAAGTGGGTGTTGGAAAGCTAGGGAAAGCTAACTGGCAGACTTTTATACTCATATAAGGTTTCTCTCTGAGCCTTGTAGTGGATTAGACGTTTGTAATAATTGTCTGGGTTTGAGATGGAAATAATTTTTGTTAAATCAATGTATTTCTTTGTGTAGGAGTTGAGGCCTCTGAAGGTTAAATTTCTTTGTCTTGCATAATGTAATGCTATACTTTAGAATACACAAAGCACAAAGGTGCTGTCAGTGTTTGTTTTAGTGGTTATGATCTCTATCAAGCACAGGAATTCCACACCAGGAATTAATACCACTGTTCAAAAGATGTGAATTCACATTAAAAGAAGGTGGATAAAAGTTCAATATCTTTGGATGTGAGGAGAGAATCTCTAATTAGATTATCAAAGATCTTCCTAAAATCAGTGGGTGGGGAAGTAATGCAAAGCCCACTTGAAATGATCAGGGAGGAATAGTGCATATACATTTACAGAAGGGTACTGCAGTCTTCATCTTAAAGTACAAATGATTAAAATATTTTGTGGTATTTATTCTTTAACTATTTTTAAAAAACTAGTCTTCCTTATATTTTCTTGTAAATGTAACTTATATATGTATGTGTGTTATTTTCAAAAAATGAGTTTGCTGTGCCATTCTAGGTATGTTTCCTTAAATGCTTCTTTTGGTGTTTTAGTATTCTTTTAAAGTAAGAATTTTAAAAACAATAATACATTATTTTCTGCTTCCAGTTTGTTATTGAATTCAAAGAATTTTCCAGCAATATTAAATCCATTATCTTTGCTTTTTTGTGAAGCTAGTGAAAATAAACAGGGCACATAGCACTTTTGAGCTAGTCGGTTTTGACTGCTTGAAAGCTATGTGGACTAAATTTACTACAATGTGACATTAGTTGCTCTTTAATATAACTCATCTTAGAAAGGAGGCAAATCTTATTGGTTATGTCAAAATATCATTTTTTTTAGGAATATCCAAGAGTAAAAATTGGTGTTTTCATTGAACAACCAACTCCTTTCCTACCTAAATTTTTAGACAGACTGTTGACTCTGGACTACCCACGGGAGGCACTCAGTATCTTCGTTCATAATAATGTAAGTATGATGTTACTATTGTGCAAAACTTCAGTTTTGGAAATTATGTGATAAATCGAAGTGCGTGAGGGAGTATATGGATTCTATATAGGAACACAGTTAAAATGCATAGGAAGAGATAATTTTTCAGAGTTTAGTATGCTGAACTGTGAAAAATGCACAAATTAAATTAAATTGTTGCAGGGCTTACTGAAGTCTTTTTAAAGAAACTGCTTAGATTCTTTTAGTAATGAAAAAGAATGTATTTTGAAGTGTGTGCTTCTGGGGGAGGTACTGCTTGACGTAAAACAAGAGAAGAGTGTAAAAATAGAATAGTTCCAGTTGGGAGGCACCTACAACGATCATCTAGGCCAACTACCTGACCACTTCTGGACTGGCCAAATGTTATTAATAATTGCATCTAATAATTGACATAGGTTTTGCTTTTCATCTTGATACTCCAATGCATTTGTGTTTCTCTTGGCATTCCTCCTGGGACCCATGGGAAAGATTGATGTGTTCAGATATAGTCTGATTGGTACTACAGAGAAGTTGCTTTCAAATACTTTTTGCTAATTACCTAATGATCTGGTGTTGCTGATCCTTCACTAGTGCCTTCAGTCAAGTTTTGCTATTTTGAGCAGCCTGGTCTAATGGAAGGTGTGGGGTTGGAAGGAGATGATCCTTAAGGTGCTGTTCAACCCAAACCATTCTATGATTCTGTGATTTTAGTGAGCGAGATGTCAAATGTGTACGATTCTTTTGGAAGAAATTGGTCTGGAAGAGAAATGGGAATAAAAATTAATTGTACCCTTTCTCACTGTGTGTACATTACTGTTGATATGATAGCATGAAAGGGATAAGTAACAGAAGTAGAGCTTATCTTCAAAGCCTTCAATGTGCTTTCCTAAGGGGATGTTAAAGGTATAAATGTGATATGCACATAGGAATTATAGGCTATTTTGTTGCTTCAGCCAGAAGTCATATTATGGTATTTGAAATGAATATAAAAACTGAATAGCTTTTTATTATAGTGGGAGGAAAACCCCTACCCAATATTTTAATTATTCTAAAGTCAGGCATAATAGTCAGAAGCTACACTGAAGACACTGGTTTGGAAGCAGTGAATGCAGCTGAGCTCTCGTAAATAGAGGTAGGGTAAATAGAAATTAAAGAAACAATCAGTGTGACTGCATTTTAAAGAAACAATGACTGTGCCTGCACACTTTGATACAGGTGGCAGCTCCCTCTCTAAAGCCGTTTAGAGTTGCATGAAAAACTCCTACGTGAGGTTGTAGGATGGGTTTTAAAGATTGTAACATAAATATCCTGAAAAATATTGCATAAACAATCTGTGAATCTTGCATCATTGTACAGCTTTGATTAATATTGCTGATGTTCTGGATTATTTTGCTAAAATTTTGGGCAGAAGAGCTTTATTTTAAATGTTTGGCATCTGTTTCTTTAGGGAAGAATACAATGTGTTCTTGGACACTTATGTTTATGATTTCATAGCAGTGTACTTTACATCTGCTATAAACAATGTTAACATGATTGCAGGAGGTTTACCATGAAAAGCACATCAAGAAATTCTGGGAAAAAGCCAAGAATATTATCAAAAATATAAAAATTGTTGGACCTGAAGAAAATCTGAGTCAAGCAGAGGCCCGAAACATGGGAATGTAAGTTGTAATTTATAAATATGTTCTACTGATGCATACCACTAGCATGTTTTCATTTTGCATGTACGTTATTTTGCATCTTAATCATTAACAACTTTATATATTCAGATATGAAAGTGGGAGCTTTTTTTGGTAGAAAAGATCTAGACATAAGATATGAACTGTTGAGTGTTTTATGTTTTTGCCTAATATAAGAAGCTTTTAGTCATTGTGAAAACATCCTTCTTCTGCTTTGGACTACCTAATAGCCTCATCTTCTGATGGAGGCATAGACAATGCATAAACAATAGTATTTGTTTTATTTTTGTTTTTTTTATTCAAAACATTTTTAAGCTAACTTTTTATGGAATAGAAGTACCTGTTGCATTGGATATGCTTTTAACAATTGCACTTTGGTTGTTTATGTCCCTACTCTTTTCCTTAAGTGACATTATATTTACGTAAACATACCGTTAAGGCTTGATCTGGGTGTACAGGTGATGGAATTATATTTCTTCCTGTGGTTCAAAGAGGCAGGAATATTTTTTTAAGTGATCTAGCTTCTTCTTCCATTGGGGAAAAAAAGAAAAAAAACAAACCAAAACCGAGACTTGCAAAGGCAACTGACTTTATCTTATGCTTTGTCTTGCTTTTTTTTTTTTTTTTTTTTTTTTTTTTTCTTCTTACTAGAGTATCCAAAACTTTAGCTTTTAAACCTGGCACTTGCCAGGCCTAAATCTGAACCTCGGAGTTTTTATCCCACATCAGGTCTCCCTGTCCAAAGGTTTCTTTACTGGCTTCAGCACTGGTTGCTATCACAGAGTTGCTCGTGGCTCTTCCAGGACATCAGTCATAGTATAGAGTTTTACAGACCAGGATCCCACCAAGATCAGAGTCCCAGGTGGCCCTTGAGCAGACGTCATTCTCTGATAGTTCTTTCACTCTCTCTTCTACCAAATCTTCCATAAGTAGAGAAGTTAGTTTGAAAAGGCCATTTTCTATTCAGAGCTTAAGAGCAAAGCATAGGCTGTTCATAGCATCAACTGAAAGAATGAGGGTCTAGTCTTGAGTTTCTGTGGTGTTCTTGGAAATTTGTTTAAATGCCATTTTGTTGTGCTGAAGCCACTTGGAAACTAATCTGTGGCTGAGATCCAAGCCTCTCCCCTTGCCTTTCTAGAATGCCGCAGATGTCCAGTGTTAGTCTATGCAACCATTCACTTGTTTATAAATAATTCTTTTCTTTATTTCTAATAGTCTCTAAAGCAAATGTGCCATGTTTGCAAACTCTTTTTAGTGTATGTTATGTGTAACTGAGCTGGAGATTCTGGAGTTGCCTTTGCCTCTTTTTTGCTATATAGACAGCATAAAGCAGAATCTTCAGTGTAATCACTATCTATACTGTTACTAAATCTCACCCAAAGATCTTTAAACCTGTCATCTTTTGATAGAATATACCTACTTATGTGAAAGAGCTTTTGATATATGGTCTTTGATTGATCTATGGATAAAAAAATAGTAATTTAAGTGCATATTTAGTATGCTAAATAAATAAAAATGCTATCCATTTAGGTTGAACTCAACGATCTCAGAGGTCTTTTATTTGTTTAGTCTTTTCCAACCGAGCTGATTCTGTGATTCTGTAATATTTACACAAAATTATTTTAAATTCTGTTTGAAAGGCAGGGAGATAATCATATGTGTGATGTGTTATCCCTGTGTGGATGTAATTTGACCCACGTTGCTCCCGTTTTGAAAGGCCCCTCTAATAAAGAGTCTGTCCTAAAGAGATGTATTGTATATAGAGAAAACATGAAGTGTAATGTGTGTGGAATGAGACAATGGCAAAACACTGAATCATCCAAAAAGCCTGAGTGTTAGTAGTAGGATCTTTCATGTGGACAATGTAGATATAATTCAATGGCTCCCTTCAATTTGTCTGAAGCAGATTCAGTTAATCTGCTGCTTGCTTTGCACACCTGGTCTGCATGGCTGCCCTTGTGAACCTCACCAACTTCACTGGAACAAACACATTTTACATTTCTTTAAAAAATCTAATTTGGAAGTACAGGATGTTCAAGGCAAGGGCAGTTACTCTAATAAATTATTTGCTTTTCAACCCTTCATCTGGCTTTGAGCATCATAACCTCATTTATTTCTCACTAATACTGCAATGGGAATAACTTGAAAAGAGTAATTCTTCAAACTTGTTTATTGTTTTGATTTACAGAGATTGATATATTCAGTCTTCTGATTAATTTTCTCCTGCCTCTATCTGCATTATTGACTGATAGTTTTGTTTCATCTGCCTCAAACACTTGCTTTCTCTCCTTTTCCAAATTAGCTGGTTTTAGTATCTGTTAATTTCCGGTAGACTTAGAATTAATTTGTTCTCCTCACTTGCACATTTCACACAGAGTCTATTTATTTGAAGAAGCAAAACAGGATTCAATAAATACAAAGAGGGGCAACTTAAGCATTGAAGGACTAGTTTTTCAGCAGAATACTTTGAGTATATAATGCAGTTGATCTACTTTTCTCATTCACATAATAAAGAATAATTGAATCATTTACTTTCTTGCTTCTTCTTGACATGGAAAGCCCTCTCCTGCGCTTGTGAAAGTTCAGTAGGGACCAAAAATTTTGCAATCTGCAAAAACTTGTTAGAATTCAACAATACTGGGGAACAGGAGTGCACAGCTTTCCTTGTTGTGGGCTGAATCAAAATGGAAAGAGAACCAAGTAGAATAAAGAGAAGGAAGGTTCAGCTGCATGTTTTCTTAATATGTTCCCTGAATGTACATCACTTGATTTCTGTGTCTTTTTTTTTTTTTTGTAGCCTTTGTCTATAAGGTATAGTTCTTACAGTTTTTTCTTTTTTTCTTTAAGAAAAAAATCTGTGATTTTTGCCTTGGTTGCAGATGAGATTTCATCCAGCTGTTACAGAATTTGTTATGTCAGAAAACATAAAATAGTAATTAAATATGTTCAAGCAATAACAGAAAGTCAGGAGATATGGGAATTTTCCTCATGCATTTCTGAGGCTTTATTTATAAAAAGCTTTTTATTTTGCATTATATTTTTTCCCCCAGTACTTAGTCTTCAGGGTTTTTCTTTTGGGGGGCTTGTTTCTTTTTTTTTTTCTCCTCTCTCAAAAACATTAGTAACAGAACTGTGTGCAGTTTTTCCTTAACTTTTAAAAAAAATTTCTTTTACCTCAGCTTTTAGTGGTAAAGTGCACATTTTAGTGAAAGTTTACACTGAAAGCTTTCCAAAGTTTCAGGAAGAGTAGATCAGAATCAGTTAGAGTTCATTGACACCACCATTGAATTTTGAGCTAGATTTGGGATTTCCTGTGTGTTTCTTGAAGGAGGATATTAAATCATTGTCTCTGAGCTCCCATTTGGTGTTGATAAACAATGTCATGGACACAGGAGGACCCCCCTTCAGTCCTTTGAGTAGGGCAAGTGTCTTGGCTGTGGTTGAAGTAAGAGCAGGGGGGATTAAATCTTTTTCTCCTAGATGTCATGTGTTTTCCATTAGAGACTTGGATTTTCTGGAGCTGCTTCTCCAAAACACTTCAGCATTTTGAATTTTGAGTGTTGCAGAAAAACAACTTTTCCACCTGTTCCTGATTTCAGTAGCTTCCAGGTGTGGTAGACTGTGGTAACAATACTTAAACATGAGAGGCAAAACTAAACATTAGTGCTGTTTTCTGGCTACATTTGTTTGTTTTTAGTGATGGTTGATAAGAGTTTCTTTATACTATCGTGGCTGCCTGGAGAGATGCAAAATGTAACTCTAAATGGCAGGTGATGACAACCTGTCTTTTGGTGGGTGTTGAAGTCTTGTATCTGGAACACCTTTTCTTTCAGAGATCTGTCAGATGGTTTAAGTACTCTCACTTTGGGCTTGCAGTCCACATGTGGAATTGTATTTTCAAACTGAGGGGTGTAAAAACAGTAACTTGATTAATTGCAAGTTCAAACTATGTCAAAAAAGAAGGTGGCTCAATGGCAAAGAAATTGGGTAGACAATATGTCTAACTCTTATAAACAGCTAATTCTTTGGAATATCTCAGTGGAAAGTATGAGGAAGAGAGCAGTGACACTTTCCCATTTTCAGATGAGGTCACTGTTCCAGATGGGTTTGTGGTTTGTAAACGAAGTCGAACATCACTCTGATTGCAAAATACTTCAAACTGATCTGCTGAGCTTCACTTTACACTTCCAACAAAAAAATCTTGGCCACCTTCTAAATTTTTGTTAATCACTACACTGAAATTACTCTATGTACAAGAATACAGCTTTCTTTTCAACATTTGGTCTTGGTTTAGAGCAGGTGGAGTGTAAAGCAAGTAGTTTGAAGGTTTTAGCCATTGCATTTAGGTAAGAAAGTATATTACAATACATATGAGCATTGCTAGAAAGCACTTTCCACTTGTTCCTTGCAGTGACCTGGATATACACAAGAAATAGTTTTACATATGATCTGGAATTTCTGCATCTGGAGAGATTAACATATACTGTAAGAATGTAATACTTTAAAACATGAGAATATTCAGGATTACATTTATCTCCTTGAGAAAGCTACTTGGCAGCACTGAAAACCTAAAGAGAAGATGCATGAATTTCTTGAGTGTATGTGTGCTTTATTAATGTTGACTGAAACTTTTATCACTGTCTTTCTATCTCTATGTGAAACTTGTAGTGTTTTAGGGAGATTTTTGTTAGTGAGCTTAAAGCACAAAGGATCACCAAAAGGCAAAACTTGCTGTTTTAAAGCATAATTCTCCTAGCATTTTCAGATACAAGTCATCATGTCAAATGTGAAGAATAAGTTTTACCATTTGGTGATCCAGTCTTCAACGTTGTAGAGAAAGAAATGCGAGGAAGAAATAAGTCAGAATGGCAACTTTGACATTTCTGGACTATTTAAGACAGTAATGCTTTCAAGGAGTTTTCAGTAGATTACTGAATGAATAAATGTGACTTAGACCAAAGCTTTTTAGTATTCTGTGGTTTGGATTACTGTGTGAATGAAGAACAGGAGGATTTCTAACACTAAGCACATGGGACCAATTGTAATAGAATTCTCTGGTTCTGGATTTAAAGGGAATGGGGACGCAAAAAATAAAAAGGCAAAAGTTGAAGGACAATTCATTTCGCTATTATGCAATTAATTTTCCAGTTATGTTTATCTACAACTAACTATAAATCTGTTCCACTTTATCACATGTTTGTAATTAAAAACGTTAATTCCACTCATATTTTTCTTAGCAGCAAACAGCTTACCTGCTTTTGGGGACGTGCTGGCCAGTGTTGTGGCTGGAACCCTGGACTGGCATCAAGTCTGTTGGTCTCTTGGGTTTATTTTCCTCATTAGAATAATGACAAAGGAGCTGAATGTTTTTGGAAGAAAATTAACATCCAATGCCAAGTGCAATATAAAAGTCAGGTTACTATTAGTGATTGTAATTAAGCTAATGATAAAGCTACATGTGAATTGCATTCAGTAGTTATAAAGCTTTGAACAGAATAGATTAGTAATGGAAAATGTCATAAAGACTGAATTGTAGGACCATGTTATGGCCAAAATAAAACCTGGTAGTTTCAACTGGGGCAATTATGTGTGAAAGTGCTGATTAAGGAATTTCTGTCATAAAAATATATGCGTAAGATAGAAGAAAGTCTCTAGTTTTGCCTCAAAGGACAGACCAAAGATTTAAACTGAGGGTGTTGTCCAAACACAGTGATCTCAGCAGTAGTGGGGAGACCACTTCTGATATTTGAGTATCTTAAAAATGTATCTCAGATCAATTATCACATCTTTAGTGATCAGACTTGAAGAGGAAGAATGTCTTAAATTTATGGAATAAAAAAGCTGTACCTTTTATGATTCCAACCAAGTTACACCTCTTCAGTCCTTTGTGCAGGAGAAAGTTTGAACAAAAAGACCTATAAGATGTTGATAAGTAGTAGTTCTTATGGAACATTTAGTGCTAGGTAGTAGAAGGGAAGAAAAGCAGGCAGGAAACCATGCCAGCCGTTTTCTTGACTTGTATGTAACCTGTCACATCCAGTGTTTATAAGATCTTCTGAAGTGACAGAGATCTTTTCCTTTGCAGAAAACAGTCACAATCAATCAAATCAGGTGGAACTTAAACTAAAGCAGTATTTATAGATGTTTTAAAACAAGAAAGTAAAATAATTTTAGTGTTTCAAGCTGTTACGATGGAATTAAAATAGGGAAAAAATACACAAAATCAATGCCACCACCTGCATGATAGGAAGCTACTGCTGTAGTATTGACTTGAGGAAATTGTTGCACTTCCTCTAAAAGTATAGTTGATTTGCTGTAATCTCCTGCTGTTCTGATGGCATAGGAAAGCTAAATTCACTCTAGCAGGTATAGCCTAGCAAGTGCACCCTGACAGAAACACACAAACGTCGTCCGTGTATCCTTTATTTTTACAGTAGAATGTGTTTTTTGCTTGGTGGCAGCTTTCTCTTGAAGGCCTGGGAATCTGCACAGATAGTTTATTCTTCTGAGATCAAAATGGTAACACAGAAATAGTGTATGGACAATTTCAATTACTTTTTCTAATTTCCATTCACTGCCTGTGCAGTTTGTTTATATTTCTCTTTACCAACCCTGTTGTTCTCGTAAGTCACAAAAAAGACAAAGAAAAGGTCTTTAAATGTATATTTCTTTATACTTTCTGTCTTACACCCTCCATAAGGTTTCAATTACTATTCAGATCATCAGATCACATCTGTAGAATCTTTTTCCAAAGATAATATTACAACCACATGGAGTCTTGCTAGAGGAGCTTACTCTTACTTCACTGTTTCACTATGAAGTGACTGTACCGATATCCAGCTATATAAATTAGTGGCATGATTCCCCCACCCTATTTTCCATTAGGAAACTGTATAGTAGGTATTACTGAACTTGGTAAATGTTAGAGGTCACTTAGTTTATTAAAAGAAAAATATAAGGCATCTGATCCATGTATTTAAATTTTCTTTTAGTTAATCACTCTACTGTAATCCAAACACACCTTTCTTTACAATACTGTGCTTCAGAGGGCTTTTAATGCAATGAATTAGTAGAGTACTTAGTTGTGGTTTGGGGTTTTTAATCTGTTTGTTTGTTTTATTGTTTGTGATTTTTTTTTCCTGGACATATGGGAGTTAATAATTCTTTTTTTGTCTTCTTAGGGACCTTTGTCGCCAGGATAAAGCATGTGAATATTACTTAAACATAGATGCAGATGTTGTGCTGACAAACCCAAAAACTTTAAGAATACTGATAGAACAGAACAGGTGTAGTATATCTCTTATTTTGTAGAATTTCCTTTGGGTTGAAAGGATTCTCTGGGGCCCGTCCAGAGAAAATAAGATCCCCTCTGTTCTCATAGAGTTAGATCCTCTTTGTTTACCTGTGGTATTTCATTGCCATATTTCATAACAGGCTTGGAGACCAACAATTCACAAAGCATTTTGTACCTGTCAAGCAGCAATTCCTGATGTGAATTTCAAATGCTTCAGAGTTTGATATTTTCTTATTCAAATATGTCATTTCACAGAAAGATAATTGCTCCACTCGTAACTCGTCACGGGAAGCTTTGGTCCAATTTCTGGGGTGCTTTGAGCCCAGATGGCTACTATGCCCGATCAGAAGATTATGTTGATATTGTCCAAGGGAACAGAGTGTAAGTAGTTGTAAGCTAATTGTTAAAGTCAAGGCACCCAATATGCTTATATTGTTTTGCATTTTTAATTTCATAGAAATACGCTTGTCACTTCCCATTCACAGCTTAAAAAAAAAAAAGCAAAGTGCTTAACCTAATGAGCTGATGTTAGTACTGGACAAAATCATTACTAGTTTACTAGTACTGGTCTGTTTGTGCCTGATTACTCTAGCAGTGCATAATACAGGAAAAGGCAGGACAAACAAATAGCAACCCCAAAACTTTGTCCCTGGAATCTCAGCCAAAAGGAACGATTGTTGCATTCATCAAATGACTTTGTCATCTCTTTGGGACAAATGCTTAACCAGTGGGACAACTGTAATTTCATTGTGTTTTTCATCCTGTATATTTTGTCAGATATATCTTAAGGAGCTCTTCAGCAATACTTTTGTCAAGGATAAACTTTTGGGTTTATCCTTCCCCTAATGAATGTGATGTAAGTTGTTCCAAGCTTGACTTTCCCATGTGGTGATGCCTTTTCATTGCTGTGGAAGAACAGAAAGGTCAGAAACAGATTGACTGCTTGTTTTCAGTTGTACTGAAAGATGTGCTCGTGGTGCTGAGAGGGAGGAAATCTGCAGAGTGAGCATTCTGAAAGCAATGCTTTTGTGTTGATATTGGCCCAACTCACGTAAATACACAGCCTGCTGTGGTCCATGGGTATTTGTGTGAGGAGGTCAGACCAGCTGTGTGAAGTCTCAGTGAAGTCTTTAAACTCATTTAAAAATCTGTTTTGGAATTACTTTTTCCATCTGGCAGTGTAGAATAATATTTTAAGAGAGTTTGACTGATTGCTTTAACTATAGAAATATGAAGTAAATTTCTAGTTAAAACTCCATAGAGAATTTGACCTCTCTATATTTTTATAACAATACTTCATAAAAATTGAGTTACTGCCTACGCCTATGTTTGAGATGTCCAGATGTAGTTTTTCAAATGTCTTGGGAACCTTTCAACTTCTTCTCCTTGCAAATTGCTTACTCTTGTCAACAGATATAGAGATCCTGATTTAATAGAATAGGCAACAAATTAGTTTTCATAGCTTTAAACTATTTGTATGTGTTGGGTTTGTTTTTGGTTTTTTTTCAACAGAGGAGTATGGAATATCCCTTACATGGCTAATATATACTTAATTAAGGGACAAACTCTCAGATCAGAGATGAAAGAAAAGAACTACTTCATGCGTGATAAGTTGGATCCTGATATGGCACTCTGCAGGAATGCCAGGGAAATGGTAAGGTGTATCTATAACAGCTTGCTTTCAAATACACTCATGTCTTCGTGTCCTGCTATACTTCGCTGCTTTACTTGATTGATCTTGGATATTATATTTTAATTCTAATTTAAAGTACTGGCCAATTTTTGTGAGATAGAACATTAGGTTTATTTCTTTAAATTGTTGAGAACAGAGGTTTTTGCAAAACTGGTGCACTGGTGCACTGACTGCATGATGGTTTCTAGTTAAATTCCCTGGAAATTTCTATTGAGGTTAAAATACCTTTCTCATTGGCGCAACCTCAACAGATGAAAGAGGGCTCAACTTCGCTGCTGTGTTTTATTTAAAACTTACCAATGCATTTGGACCACCTTTTTTATGCACATTTTTATACAGTGTGCAACTTGTAGCAGACTAAGCTGGAATATTTTGCAATTTTTTTTATCTAAGTAGGTATATATTTAAAATAAGGGTGAACTGTGTTATATGAGAAGCCTAAATCATTTATCAAATGGTCAGAATCTTCTTAAGGAGCATGAATTACTCATTAAGTTTTCTAGATAGATTAAAAACTGTATCAGAAATGTGTTACTTGCATTAAGCTGTAAGTACTGAGAGAAAACGTATTTGTACTGTAAAGTTTTGAATATGTAAATCCACATTTCTACTGATATTTACACTAGTTTCAGCACAGAAACAAATAAGACCTAAACCAGACCTATTTCCAGACACTATAGCATTGAAAAATAATTTTGCTGAATTGAACAAGAAAAGTTGGCAAGTATTGATTTTTTTATTCCCTCATAACAAGGCATGATCTCCTTTGTTTGTACTGATTCCTCAGAACGTTCCTGTCCAATCCTGTTGTGTTCAAACCTTCTCAGCATCAGTTATTGCCAACTTGTGCTTTCCATGTGCTCATTAAACTAATCTGACTGGCTCCTCAGAAAATTGCTTTCTCTTTTCCCCCTTCTCAGTCTGGGCTGTAGGATGGTTTGGTATGTGCTTGTTTTTGTATTGGCAGCAGATAAGAAGGGGCTGGTGGAAACAGCTTGGACATGTGTATTAAGAGCTTTGCTTGGAGATGCATGTTGTCTGTAAAGGCATATCAGCTATAAAGCGAAGGCTGCTATTTACCTGATGTAACTGTGGAAACCTATTCATAGTCAGAAAAAGAGAGATTATGTATCAGAAAACTGATGTGATGATTCTCCTTCATTTTAGACTTTACAAAGGGAAAAAGACTCCCCTTCTTCGGAAACATTCCATATGCTCAGACCCCCAAAGGTTTTGCTTTATTTTTTTTATTAATGAGTTATTATTACATGCAGTATTATTCTACCACAGGAAGATAACTTCTCTTCTGTCCACTCACTCTAATGAAATACTGCTCTAGCTTTCTCTTCAGTCTTCTGAGGTTCAAGTTTTTGCCAGGGACAGGTTCTTCATGACCAGCTCAATGTATCTTAGAGAGGCTCATTGTTTCCCCAGGGAGGTTTCTTAGTGCTTCTGAGATCAAGGTGTGCTGACGCTGTGCCTCTGTAGCTAAAATTGATTCAGCAGTCTTAGGAAGGAGTAAAGCTCTAATCACCCAAGTCTGCCAGGCCCCCTCAGTGACCACAATGTCAGTTTAAGCTGTGTTTCTTGACCCAGGCCCTCCTTATTCTCCTTGCTGCAGCTATTTTATGATTTGGTAAGCGCCCAATGATTTTGGGCATGTTTAACATAATCATTATCTTTCTAACAGTTTAACTCTTTTTCAGACAAAAACGTAGACAGAAGTACCAAAATGCCCAAATGATGTTGTCTTTATCCGCTGCAAATCCAAAAGTCACAAACATTTCAGAAATGAAGTTTTAGTCTGAAAAACTGTAAACTAAAAAAAGTCCCACAGAACCTAAGTTTCTTTTTAAAAATACTATTTTCTACTACTATTTCTAATCAAGAGAGTTCTGTTAATATCTTCTGTTAATAGCTTGATAATAAAGCTGTATCTTACCACACTTCATATCTTGCATATAATTACGTGACCAGACTTCAGAGTGCTCAGCTGTTTTGTATGCTGATCTGAATATTGTTGTATGCTGTATTTGCCAATATCTTTTTATTTCAGGCCAATTCACCAGACGGATCACGTAGTGAATACTCTGAAATAAGTTTCTTGTTCTGACTTTCAAGAGCCCTGTGATTGTTAGCTTATTCTTTCAGTTTTTGATTGGAAACTAAACCCTAGATGTTGGTTTTCTTGTGTGAGCATTTTCAGTTTGAGAAAAGATGCTTCCAGTGTGTCTGCTTAGGTTTTCTGGGAAACAAATCAACCAGTTGCTTCTCTGTTTTTTCCTTTCTATAACTGTACATGGTTTTATGTTCTCAACAATATATGTTTCAGTTTAATGTGTTTAGAAAATAATACAACCAAATGCTTGTAAAGAAAATATTATGAACAGTAGCTGGTGATTGGAGTCAAACATTTGAAAATTAGGATGCTAAATGATCTGCACATGTATAATAATGTGTGTCCAAGTGTGTGATATATTTTATGGAAGTGCAGTCATAAACAGACCTTTTTAAAACTTGGTATTTGCTAAAATGGACAGTTTTGCTAATGATGCTTTCTCTGCTTGGTATAGGGTGTTTTCATGTACATTACCAACAGACATGAATTTGGAAGACTTCTTTCTACAGCCAATTACAATACTTCCCACTACAACAATGACCTCTGGCAGATATTTGAAAATCCTGTGGTATGCATCTAATTATTGATGAAAGAGTTATTTTATCAAGAAAAAAGTAAAGTTTATATATTATAAAGGGCTTAGGTTTTAAGGACTTTACATGGAGAACATTTGTCTGCTATGCATAATATTGATTATGTACTGAAAGGTGTTCTCTCTAACCCATCTAAGCAAACAATATAGCAATAAGCTAACTGATGATGAGAGTAAGGAGTTGGAGATATGGCCCTGATGTAACAGGTTTCATGAGTTTTGACATGATAAGAACCATTTTTTTTATGGGTATAAGAAATTGTTTAATTGTTTCAATGCTTTTGACAGAGCAAATGAATAGATTCTTTGTCACTTAAATTTATTTGTTTTGTTGTAATGTCTTAAAATCATGGTTTTTTTTAGGACTGGAAGGAAACTTATATAAATCCAAACTACTCAAAGATCTTCACTGATAATATAGTAGAACAGGTGGGTATAAGTAGTTTTCTAAAAATTTGTGGAACTGACTGATAATAAATTGGCATACAGTAGCTATTTCCACACAAATGCTGTTTTAGTCTATGATTGAAAATTTTTTTAATGTTTTGGATCAGAACTGAATGTTTGCCATGACGGTCCATTTGGTCCAGGCTTCTTGCTTTCATGCAGCTGATCTGGACAGAGCCCTTGTGTTGGATGATGAGTTCTGTGCCAATTAGGGACAGTGACTTAATGAACTTTGCCTCCTTAAGAAGCTGTCATAAATTGGTTTTGTGTTTAAAACAATGTTAAGTTTTAAACTGTTCCTCATAATAGCTTGTAATGCAGAAGATCAGGGTTGTTATTTAGAGCCATAAGGCACAGAATGTGTGGGTACACTGACACACCTGTTAATGCTGGGTCATGGCTTACAAGGTAGCTCGTACTTTTTGCTTTTGTGAGAATGCACTTGGGGATAAAGTTTTTAAATTTTATTTTGTTTATAGCCATGTCCAGATGTGTTTTGGTTTCCCATATTTTCTGACGCTGCCTGTGACGAACTGGTAGAAGAAATGGAACATTTTGGACAATGGTCTGGTGGAAAACACCAGGTAAGTGTCAGCCTATATAAACATGACCTTAAATGAGTGAGTACCTTTACAATAGTGAGTCACAGTGTACTGCAACAAAAAATATCCCAACAATTGCCAATGACCTGAAACCTCTGCTTTGTGGTGTAAAATGCTTAGTTTTGTCTAGCACGTAGCTTCTTGTTCAGTAGATTTAGAGGTATTCTTCAATTAATCCAGTGGTGGGTTGACCCTGGCTGGACACCAAAGCCGCTCTATCACTGCCCTCCTCAGCTGAACAGGGGAGAGAAAATACAGCGAAAGGCTCCTGAGTTAAGGACAGGGAGAGATCACTCATCAACTGCCATCACAGGCAGAACACACTCAACTTCAGGAGATTAGTTTCCTTCCTACTCTGATTTGATTGATAATATAATGAGCGATGAAACCACATCTTAAAAACACCTTCTCCCCACTCCTCCCTCTCAGGCTTAAATTTAGTCCTCATTTTCTCTACCTCCTCCTCCTCAGCAACTCATGTGGATGGGAAAATGGGAGATTGTGATCATCACACATTGTCTCCTGCCACCCCTTCCTCCTCAGGGGGAGGACTTGCACACTTCCTCTGCTCCAGTGTGGGTCCTTTCCATGGGGTGCAGCCCTTCAGGAACAGTCTGCTCCAGTGTGGGATCCCTGTAGCATCACTGATCCTGCTAGAACCCTGCTCCAGCGCAGGCTTCCCATGGGGTCACAGCTTTCCTTGGGCATTCGCCTGATCTGACATGGGGTCCTCCAGGGGCTGCAGGTGGATCTCTGCTCCACCTTGGACCTCTGTGGGCTACACGGGCACAGCTGCCTCACCATGGTCTGCACCACGGGCTGCAGGGAAATCTCTGCTCCAGTGCCTGGAGCACCTCCTCCCCCTCCTTCTGCACTGACCCTGCTGTCTGTAGGGCTATTTCTCTCACATATTCTCACTCCCCTCTCCAGCTGCAATTTCTGTTGCACTGTTTTTCCCGCCCCCCCCCCTTTCTTAAAGACATGACCATCACAGAGGTGCTGTCTCTGACACCATTGGGCTTGTCCTTGGCCTGCTGTGGGTCTGTCTTGGAGGCAGCTGACATTGGCCCTCTCAGATGTAAGGGAAGCTTCCAGCAGCTTCTGACAAAGGCCACCCCTGTAGCCCCCCCCGCTACCAAAACTGCCACATAAACCCGATGCAAGATTGAATTAGCAAATTAGACACTAACAGTAGTGCAGTTTCTGTAGTAGTTACCTGACAGTTACCCAAGGCTGATTTTTGGATGGCTGTTGATAACTGTTCCACAAGTTTTGCTAATTTACCACCTAAGTACTAATTTGTCAAATTCATCCCCCTAAGGGGGATGTTCTGAGGTGTTGTGTCAGTGTTTTCAGAAATTTTAAGGTATTTATTAACTACCACTAAAAGCAGAGGATTTTATTTGTCTAATTCACAAATGTGGTACCATGGAAATGAGAATAATTGTAGTCACAATTTTACTGAAGGTAGGAGCCTCCAGAAAGGATTTTACCATACTTTCGTCTTCAAATTATTTCAATGTTTTTTGCCATGTCAAGTTGAGGCCTGTACTCTCTTAATCTGATACAACTTCAATTCCATCTGCAACTCAATAAATAAAACCATTACCCTAAGAAACCTTCTTACTTACAGGCAACACATCCAAATATTTACTCATCCTTTAAAAAACTTCCAGCTTTTGCTAATTAATATCTCAGGATTTTTCTATGACAGTTAGCTGTGGAATTTGCTATACAGCAAGCTCACATATGCTCACTGAAGTATTGCTTTGTTGCAGTTCTGTGATTCTGTAGATTTCAAATAAATATTTGTAAAAATGCCAGAAACATTTCACGTTCATATTTCATGGCTGTTTGCGGTGTTTTCATTAGGACAGCCGTATTTCTGGAGGTTATGAAAATGTCCCAACTGATGATATTCATATGAAGCAAATCGGACTGGATAATGAATGGCTGCATTTCATAAGGGAGTTCATTGCACCAGTAACGCTGAAAGTGTTTGCTGGCTATTATACCAAGGTATGGGATTAAAACTTTTGCAGATAATTACTCCGTGGCATGACTAAATTTAAGAATTTTATCGAATTACCCTATTTGATTTTGTTGGGGAGTTTATACATGGCATAGCAGTAGGTATAAACAAATGTTGGTTGGTTGGTTGTTTTTTTAACTAAACTTGAAAAAATCCCAAGTGTCCTGTATGTGACTTGGCAGTTCACAACTTGAAGTCTGACTGTATGTTTTATTTCAGGGGTATGCTTTACTGAATTTTGTTGTGAAATACAGCCCTGACAGACAACGGTCACTCAGACCTCATCATGATTCCTCCACGTTCACAATCAACATTGCTCTCAACAAAGTAGGAGAGGACTTTCAAGTAAGTTGACAACTTACCAACTTAAAAAATGTCCTTTGAGTGCCCAATGTTATTTTCAAATTAGAGCCCAAATGCATATTCTTAGAGACCAAGATGAAAAGATGCATATCACAAATTGGGATATATAATGCCTTAGTGTTTTTTGACAAGTACTAAATTTGCTTAATTGCAGGATTCAGAACTGTTGGTGCAGTCAGGCTGAATTGATCAAACTGGTTTCAGATGATGGGAGAGAAGGGGTTTAAAGAAAAACTTTGGAGATGTTAACCATTTCTTTTTTAATATTTCTGAATTCCTTAATTCCTTTTCAGGTTTAAACAGGACCAAGTTGACTCAAATGGCTTCTTTTCTATAGAACTTTTTTAATGGTTCTCTTTTAGATCAGCTGCAGAATGAAGATTTTCAACTCTTTTACCTGTTTAGTTTTTTTCTGAGCTAAATTATTTTCTACTCTGATATTGATTGAAATAAAACAGTCCCCAGAGCATAGAGCTAGGCAGGGCAGTGGCAGTAATATCCAACATTGACTAGCAGAGAAGCTTAACCTGTTGTGTTTATAAGCCTGTGTCATCCATAGTCCTTAAAACCCATAAAGGTGCTTGCCACACTTACTACTCTAGAAAACACACCTTCAGTCTGAAAGCAGCAGCCAGATTAATTCATTTAAGATTTGTTTAAATGCTATCCTGGTTAGGGATGCAGTCCTGAAACAAGGCCTGTGAACATGATTTGCTTCTCTCTGGTATAATTTGCAATAAAACTACTGAAGATGTTTGTCAGAGTTGCTTCTTGAATGAGTTGTTATCCAGCAAACGCTAAAGCAAAGCAAGGGGAAATCTTTGATTGCAGATGGATGTGTATTGTGTAATGCTCTAAAGATGGTGACATTTAAATAACTAGTATAGTAAAAGAAAAAATTAACAGCCTATTAATAATAGTAAAATATTTGAAGTCATGGATATATAAAAATGAACTTACTTTACTAAAACACAGGATAAATGTTTAGGGTTTTATTTTGTTTGTGTTTTTACTACAGGGAGGTGGATGCAAATTTATTAGGTACAACTGCTCCATTGAGTCTCCCAGGAAAGGATGGAGTTTCATGCACCCGGGAAGACTTACACATTTACACGAAGGACTTCCTATCTTGAATGGCACAAGATACATTGCAGTATCATTTATTGATCCTTAATTTTATTTTTTTTTCCCCTCTTCAACAGCAGTGTTCTTTACACAAACATTTATTTATAGATTTCTTCTGGAAGATGGTGATAAAAGAAACTTTAAGTTCTTGTACCTACGCAACAAAGGTACTTTGGGGAAAAAGAATGAAAAACAGAAAATGTTCTGATATTGTTGAAGATTTCTCGATATCTGCTCTGAGCCTTCAGTCACAAATAAACGTGTCCTGCTTGTTTTTCCATTCTGCTGACCTAAAGAGTAGGTAAGGAGGGCAAATGGAAAAGCACAGTGAATCCATGTCTTCGTTGAGAAAAAAACAAACCCAAACAACTCTAGATACAAAATCATCGGAAAAAATTGTTGTGGTTTTCGTTCAGTAAAGCGACACAGCTAAAGTTTGTGTGGTCTGTATATTTGGTACCAAGCAGTGAAAAATCACAACATAAAAACAAAATGAAGTGCATCTTGTTTACAGTTGTTTCGGATAAGCAATAATTGCATATGCCGGTATATACTGAAGGGAAAATATCCCCGTAGCCTGTTTCCTTAATTCATTTTCAATACTGAAATGTACACCTTTAGAAGAAAAAATAAATTAATTGCAGAGATAGAACAAGGATTAAATCATTTATCCAGGGGAAAAAATGGTTTATCATTTGTTTTTGAGAACTCATCCTGTTGAAAACTTACTTTTCTTCAGCAAGTGACCTTCATTTAAAGTGAGTTATTTTTCTAAGTGTGTAATTGCACCCAATTGATACTGGAAATTTGATGTTTATTTTCAGAATGCTGGTAAATTGTAATAATAGGATGTTTTGTAGAGACAATTTTCTACTCTTAAAATTACTTGAATTTTGTATCAGGAAGATGAAATGGTGGCAGTCTCTCTTTAAAGCTAAGGGTCTTAACTTGACATTTATTTTAAAGAAATTGGTTTAAAATATTCCTACTGTATCTACTGTTTGTAATTTAAAGAAACTTGAAGCTGTCTCAAAGTCTACAGTGCCAAAATGCACAACATGTTGGAAAAACTTGTGAAAAATAAAGGGTAATTTTAAATTAATGTAACAGCTGTTACTTGACTGTATTAGATAGTTTCTTTGCATTTGCCACTGTTTTACAGAAACTGGACTTACTGACAAGTATTTTCTAACGATCTGTAGATACATTTAGATGGGAGGTTTCTCTAAGTGTAGGGTTTTGGTTTATTTACTACTGAAATTATTTCTTATGTGTGTTGGTGCCTGTGTACCAAGCCTTGCATTACATTTTCAGACCAACCCCAGCAGGAGTGATAATTCTTGGTATTGTTTTTATATAGAGGCTATTTGATGATCTAAACAGTATTTACTTTTTACCTGTGAATCTTTGAAGAAGTTTTATATCACATTTCCCAGACAGAAACTTTATTTGCAGCTGACAGGACTTGGAGAGGGTTTCAAAGATTTTTCGTTTACTGAATATAAGCATGTCTGCTTATTTCCATGCTCTGCATTTTTCTGTACTTAAAGTTATGCTGAAGCAAATACATCAAAGTGAGGTAACCTCAAAAATGTATTAAAATGGGCTGGCTTGAAAAGGAATGGCTTTTGATGGAAAATGCTTTGCTTTCTTTTAATTTCTCTTTACACTGTCAACTTTTCTTCTTTTCAGGCTAATATTTGGAGATTGATATCCCTCAACTTTATTTCCAGGCATGGAACAGCTGTCTTAGTGTCTCTCTCTCTCTCTCTTGCCTGTGCTTAGGCAAGCCTTACAGATAACAAAATCTTCAAGCCTTCAGAATGAAAGCAGCCTTTGTTAATCATCTTTTTCTGAGAATTTGCCTGTGATCTCTTAAGCTGACTTAGAATGATATTTCTACCACTGGATCAGTTACAGTCAGTTTATTGTTACGAGGAACTTCCTTGGAAAAAACTCACAAAAATACAATCCTGTAACACAGGGGGAGTTCTTTTGCAGATTCCCCCCCCACACACTTCTGTTTTAATTATGTATTTTTGTATTCTAGGTCACATTTTATTTTTTTAATGCATATTTTCTCATCAAACATATGAATGGCATTACTTACTTTTAAATTTTTGTTTGCAACTATTAATTCACTGTCACGTAGTGACACGTAATGCTGTGTTTACTGTGCTGCACATTTGTTGGAAGGGAAAATGTGTTTACCATGCTCAAGTTACTAAGATTCTCACTTATTTTTTCTTTTAATGAAGTATTTGCAAAAGCTGACAGCTGCCTTTCAGGTGGACAGCAACAGGTATGGAAGTGTTCTCATTAACTTCTTAGGAGCTGACACATGCCAGGAAAAGAAGTTTATTCTGAACAGTTCACCTGAATTAGTTCCAAAAGCTATGCTATACTGTTGAGCACACAAGCTGACACAGGCTAAACAGAATTGTCACTATTAGAATGTTCTTTCATTATTCTTAAAAGCACTTAGACTCTCGTGTCTCCTTAACAAAGTTTGTTTCAGGGTGTGGAAGATATATGCATTAGTAGGAAAACAGCAACCCTAATTCCAGCACTGTATGAGAAACCTTGGGAGTACAGGGACATAAGGGTGCTCTGCAACAGATAAGACATTTGTAAAATATTTTGTCTGTTCTGCTTTCATCTAACTTTACTTTTAACTGTTAAGTAGTTGAAGGGACTGTGATGTGGGTAAGAGTGTATATAGGCAATATATTTTTTAAGTCTTCTTTTGGTTAAAAATACTGAGTATAGCTTGGTTTTATTTCATATTTGTGAACTATTCCATCTGTTCTCCTAAAAAATGTTCAAGGCATTTAGTAGTATTTTATACATGTTGAACAAGTAATTCCAATATGTATTTGTCACTTCATTTTTATTTTTTTTTGTTGTTCCCAAAGGATTACTGTTTCACTCTGATTGTGAATGGGTAGGAGTAAGGCTATTACAAGCCCCAAAAGAAGATTTTTTTTTTTTTTTTTTTTTTTTGCAGTAAGGCAATAATAATGAAATCTATTTGATTGTGCCTATTGCTTTTTAATGCTTTTCCCATGTCTGCTGTATTTGTGGAATAAATGTTAATTCAATGCAGGGCTTCCACAGCAGTTTCTCAGCATGTATGAAGTAAGGAGACTGGGATATTAAAGAGACAGAAAAGTCTAGAAAGGCCCTCTGTGATTATTTCCTCCCATGTGCACGTATCTAGTTTTGCTTTTGTTTTTCTGCTTCAAAGAATTGGTTCAGATTTTTCTTTTCAGCTTCTGCAATGAGATTTTTTAAGAACTTCAGTTTTGTTTGATTTATTTCTGACATGGCCTCAGTGGATTCAGTTCTGGAATGAGTAAGTATTTTTTGAATCTTTTCTTCCATGAACTCTCACTTTCTTGCATGGCAGAGTAGGTTGCTCTGCTGTTTTTGTGAGTGAAAGGGAACACATTACCTGTCTCAGCAGCCCTCTATGACTGAGGTGTCAGATAAATGACTTGACTATTAGTGTTTTTAGGTATGGGATGTTTTTGATTCCATAGCAGAGTGTGAATTGGAGGGCACAGCTTTCATAAAATAAATTTGTAGAATTGATGTTGGTAGTTCTTAGATATGAGATTTGCACTAATAGAGTTAACTGTAGAGTTGCAAGAATAAGTAATTGACTTGACTGCCAGGATTTTATTGTACCTAGATGGTGGAAGTGTCACTTCAAACAGCTTTCCAGCATGGTTTCCCAAATACTTACTTCATTTTAATATAAAAAGTTATTTGGAATCTAATGAAGCAGATAGTCTTACTCAACAGTACTGAAGACCCTCAGTCCAAACCTGAAATACAATTGAAAAGAGAAGCTTTTATCTACAGCAAACTTTTTAGCCATTTCCCTCTTTTTTTTAATCTTTCCTTCTATAATTATTTTCCATTTGATATATGGGTGAGATCTGTATAAATGCATCCCACTTACAGGATGATGGTTGTCTTTTAGTGTATTTTAGGGCTGGGGAAAGGTGGAATGAGGAAGGAATAGGTGACAGTTCAGAATTCACCCCATGCAATTGCTTCCTTCTGCAGCTGTTAGTGCAGAGCTGTGTGCTGTGTTCCTATGGCACTTCAGTCCTAAACTAACAGGAGGAGATCTGAGAAGCAGTTGATATCCTGGCATGATGCTAAGGCTGTTAAATGCTGGATCAACTTTTTCTCTTAGTAACTTACTGCTTCTGGAAAGTTAGTTTTCTGGATTGAGCTTCACTTCAGAAAAGATGTTTTGGCTGTGCTAAAGCAATGCCCCTCAGGATTATTTTGCACAAGGATCAAATGTAAGATCAGCTCTCTGATAAAAACATATTGGTCTTAAGTTATTTAATGGAGTATGGCAACAGTTCAAAAGAAGGATTTCAGTCAGCATGATTACAGCCTTTATTGGCATCAGTGCAGCTGCAGAAATAGCAAAGCTGAGAGCCTGGCCAGTGAGGAGGTATTGGCCGTGTTGCAGGTGGTGCTTTGGGGTGATGCCATGGCCCTTAGGTGGTGGAGAAAACTGCCTTTTTTTGAAAAAACTCACTTGGGTTTTGGGTCCTGAATATTGATCCCTTTGCTCTTGCCTACTGCACTTACTGGTGGTTTATGGTTGTCGAATGTCTCAGGGTGCCTGAGGTTGGCAAGGAAGATGTAACAAATTTAGTCGGGAACTAGTTTTCTGGCATCAAATCAAAATTTTTGTTTTTCCAAGAATTTTACTTAGTTTTAAAGAAGTTGCTCAGCTACTAATGACTCTGCAGCATTTTGTTTCTGTACTCTGTTGAGGGTGGGGAGGAGAGAGAGGAGTAAGGGAGCGGGGCATGAAGGCAGTGCATTTCCCCAGCTTCAGCTGGAGGGGCAGTTGGTGTGAGCAGTACTGTAAGCCTATACTTAATACCTTAAGACATCAAGACTACCTTTCAGAGTGGGCTTGACTAGCACTTCAGGCTTTAAGCTTTCTCAGACATGGATTACTAATCTCTCACAGTGTACATCCACTGCAGTGTGTCAAGAGAAGGTTTGCAACCTTGCTTTTTTCCACCTTTTTTTTTTTTTAAGAGTAGTGGTGTTCAGTTTTACCTTAAAGCATATTCTTCCAAGCTTGAAAAGTAAATTATCTTCTCCATGTCATAGAGCAGCAGAACTAGTAGAATAACTGCTCAGGTCTTGGTTCCTTAAAGTAAATTGGTGACTGATAACAGCTGTTGTTCTTCTGTAAGGAGTAGGTGTGTCCAACTGGTGGTGTTAATATTCTTCATCCTCTTGTGGTAGCAGTTAGGGTGGAGAGATGGAGTTGGTGAGGGTACCTGAGAAAGCAAGCTGCATCCTTGAGACATTTCTGTAAGTGCCTTCTAAAGGAAGTTACTCTAGCATGAAGTGAACACAAACTCATGAGAACTTGAGGAAGAAATTATTAAGCATAAGTTACTAAAAGCTAGTTTTTACCTTTGGCAGTACTGGGAGAATGTAAGACGTGGGCGGGTGCACAGTGCAACAATGAACTTCTGGCCCAGCCAAATTTAGAGACTCATCATCTCTGAATCACTTTTGTACACTGTGATTCACTAGGGAGCTATTTCAAGCATTTGGTCATTCTTTAAAACACGTACCATGTAAAGAAGGACAGGTCCTGGTGTATAAAATGGTATTTTGCCATAAAATTTCTAGATCCAGCTGTCTCAGACTTTTCTTTGCTGTGCCATCATCAATTGTAGAGTGGAGATTTTGATAGCATTACTTGAAAAAATAGGAAGTTATCAGTTCTTGTACTTCAATCACGTGCATTAATTTGCATGAGAGCATTTTGGCCACTTTTGATTCTTTTATACTCTTTGCATGTGCCCCCATCCCTGATGTGCACATTTCTTTCCATTCAAACCATACCCCCTTCATGTCCCATATGTTTGCCAGATGTCAGCTTTCCATCAGAGACAAAAAAAAAGAGCACGGGTGGCCAATGACTCTTGCATAAATGCAAGCAGGAGCAAGGAAGGCAGAGACAAGGGATCTTTATTTTAAAGTGTTCTTGAAGTGTAAATTTTTAAACTGTTTCTTCTGTGGTAATGAAAGATGCCTTAGGATCAGAACTAGGGAGCTATTATATATCAGGGGTATAGCTGAGCTATGCTCTATAAAACAGCACAGATGACATTTCCTGATTTTTTTTTATCTTGTAGTTTATACAGCCAGTGGGATGAGATGGATACAGAGGGCTTCAGGCAAGAGCAGTTTCTCGGATCCCACAGGCAAGTCCTTCATGCTGACCTGTGGCATCGCTGGTGGCTGTTGGAGTAGGTGACCACTGCCATGTTTCACTATTGTGGTGTGTATTTGGTGAGGGTTTTTTAGTCTTCATCTCATTATCCATCATGTGTCTGTGTATTGGCACAAACCTATGGTTGATTTTTTCCATGGCTGTATCTTGGCCTTGTTCTGCAAATAGGATTTTTTTCTTCGTGCAGCTTAGACTTGAAAAAAATTATTCCCTTATTCTGATAATTACGGCACACAGAAGAGTACACAGGCAGGACTTGATTTATTTTTCTCTAAATATCACTGACACAACGGGAATATGAGTATGACCTTTGCATGAATTAATTGA